CTCAACAATAGTCTTTATATTAGAAAACTTTATTTTGGCTTCACACATTAATTATGTCATTATGTCCGAATTAAGTAAAATAGAAACACCATCTACATATGGCTCATATTCAATCATATGATCTATAATATTTTCATTTGCATGGTCAATAACAATGCAGATCACCGTTTGATAAGAGAGGAATGATGGATTTTATGCTATATTTTATGAGAAGATATTGAGTCAATTTTTAGCAGCAGAAATGACTTCAAAACATATCAATTATTGTCATATGTGACCATTTGAACCATATTTTGACCTTTGAATGATGTGATGCTCATTCAGATGTCCCATTACCCAGACTTATGGATTTTATGCTATATTTTATGAGAAGATATTGAGTCAATTTTTAGCAGCAGAAATGACTTCAAAACATATCAATTATTTCCATATGTGACCATTTGAACCATATTTTGACCTTTGAATGATGTGATGCTCATTCAGATGTCCCATTACCCAGACGTATATATGATCCACTTTATATTAATTGTATCTTATTGCTATAACAACTTGTATTTAATTATATGAAACTGCATCTAAGGAATCATGGTTTGGACATGACTGTGGAAGAGCTTGAGACCCATGCTATATCAGCTTCAAAAATAAGGAAAATTACAGCTTGAATATATAATCAAGACGTTTTATTGGTGTAAGCCTTTGGTGATTCATATAATAAGAGTCATCATAATTATTTTATTTTTGGTTAGGTTATAAAGTTTTTGTTATCTTTCCGATAGAATTTAGATGGTCATAATATGTTAACAAATTTCAAATAAAAATGGAATATGCATGATTTATAATAACTTCACAAATATAATCACTCATACAACTTTTTATTTCCAGAAGTCAGAAATCTGACTTGCCAATTAGAAGTATATATACACTATATATTGTTCTTAAAAAATCAATGCACAAGAACAACTAGAAGCTTACATGTTATTTCTTTCAATAGAAATTATTTGGTAAGATTAAATTGAAGAAGGAATGCAATCAATCATTTCATTGGAACTATAAAAAGCTTTTTGTTTTTGTCCAATGGAATGGAATCGGTCATATTCTTCAAGGAATGCAATGAAATGAAATCTTTCAATATAACCCTTTGTGTTTATGAAATTTAAATGAAACACTACTTTTAGTAGAAAACATTTTTCTTTATTATAATTATATTTTTGTTTTAATGAACTTATGCATCGTTTTCAATTTTTAAATTGTAAATTAATATTTTTTTGTTAAGAATAATTAAATATGGATTTGGAACTATATATAATACTTCCATATAAAGTAAAAAGTTCATATGAAAACTTGTCACATTCTTATAGGTCAAGTAAAAAGTTCATTTATTTGAATTCTAATTTAAAAGTTTCATCCCTAAAATTATGATATAAATTTTGTATAAAGGTATCTTTAACACGTTTTATTTGTTTTAAAGATTACTTTTTTCAAATTCGAATTAAATTATCCAATATTTGCGGAAACTATTCATAACCATATTAATGAATTTTTGCATGTTATTGATTAGTCGTTACAAATTAAAATTATGATAATTATTTGTTTTTTATTTTACTCGTGGTTTCCACGGATTGTAACCTAGTATAGTAATAAATTGATATCAATTTCATTAATAAAGTTACATTTTAATTTCAAAATTCCTAAAATTAAAGGTCATTTGTTTCTTTTCTTTATTTAAATTATTTGTTTAAATTTAAAAGATAAAAAACATTTCCATTATAATAATTCATTATTTTTCTTATTTTTTATAAATTCAAAGTTTTCAAATATTTTGAATTAATCCATGTAATACATAGATCTTACAACTAATATATATATATATATATATATATATATATATATATATATATATATATATATATATATATATATATATATATATATATATATATATATATACACACTAGATGTGTGTCCGCGCAAAGCGGCGGTGATAAATTGTTCTTTCGGCGAATAGTTTTGTTACAGGGAAATAATTATTAGATATTATTATTAGTTATTATGGTTACCATTTCTAAAAAAAAATATTTATGTTTAGACCTTATATTTATATTGATTGTTTATATATTTGATGTAAATTATTTAATATCGGTGTCAAGTTTAAGAAATATAAACTAATTTATATGCATGAATTTAATATTTTAAAATTGTCAATTTGTTCCAAATTAAATTTCTTAATAGCCTTCCTTAATTCAAATTTTCAAACTTTTGGTAAGTATTAATGACTTTTTATGCATAATTGATTTGTACAAAAAGTTTTCTATCTTATACCTCTTAAAATTCAAGATATGACTAATATGTTTTATAATATAGTATAAGATATATATATATATATATATATATATATATATATATATATATGTGTGTGTGTGTGTGTGTGTGTGTTTCGGTTTAAATACAAAGGTTTATGCTTAGTAAGAGCAGTGGAAGTTTTGAGGAATTTGATAATGGAAAAGAAGAGAGAAAAAGAAAATGATGTTGAGCTCATATGATATATATTTGGAAAGTATGGAAAGAGTTCCATGGATATCAACCACCTCATAGGGCAGTACCTCCATTTTTCCCTAGATTTGTTTGCTTCATCTATTCATTTGCTTTGTTTTGTGCAAATGAATTCGATCTGGATAATATTGCAGGTTGAAAATACTTAATACTACAGTTCTCTAAAAAGCTTAGAAGAACGTGAGGTAATTTTGAGATTTTGTGTGTGTGTGTGTGTTTTTTTTTTTTAATTTTTTAATTTTTTGTTCTCATTTTCATTTTTCTTTCCATAATGGCACGCACAATCATGGAAATTGTGGTTTAACCTTTAGGGATCAACATATTTTGTTTACAGATCATGGAATTTAAGGAGGCTGTGGAAGACTCAATTCGAATGATGATGATTAAAGCTAATATGCATTATTTGTGATATAGTCTAATGAAGATTATATTTTTATTGCATAAAGTTGATGAAAGAAGTTGAAGAGCTTAAGGGATCAAATTCAAAGCAGATTACAAACATCAATCTGCTAGAACAAGTACCGGTACACTTAAAAATCATAAACAATTTCTTAGATATTTTATTTGTCTTATTTCTATAAATTTATGTGATTTGGCTATACTCAGGATAAATCAAAACTAGAAACCCAACAGCTCAAAACCAAGATTGATGTTTTGGAATCTGAGTCATGCTCTGTTGGAGTAGATTCTGATAATAGGCTACAAAGCAAAAAAAACATTCAAAAATTTGAAGTGTTCATTGTTGCTAGATATGATGGGTCTTCATGGTTGGCATGTCTAGATTCATATTACCCATCTTATTATGTTAGAATCCCATTCAGACCAATGAATATAGTAAAGCAATATGGATCAGCAGCAAAGGTAATGATTATTAATCTTCTTAAGTTGCTACATTTTATAAAACTTATAAAATTATAACCATATTTTTGTTTACTGGTAGTTGAATCATTCGTCTCGACAATAAATCAGTGGGTTTTAACTTTTAAGGCCACCTTTATATTGAAACGTCCATGTTGCTGATGCTGCAGTTAACAACAAACTTTTTGTGGCTAGTGGTAATAAAGAAAGTCATATTTCGTCTTAGGTGGAATATCTTGATCTCAACAATGGCAAGTGGCTCCCCATTCATTCCATGAATAACAAGGTACTTTTACTGTTACACATTCATTCAGATTGCTCTAAAGTTCATTTATTGTTTTTTTTTTTGTTAGAGGTCAGCAGTTTAAGAGGATGCTATACATAAATGAATACTCTTTTATGTGATGTAGTTCTGTTGAAATGCTTGATTCACGTGAAGACAAATGGTTAAAAATTCCAGATATGAACAAAATGAAGGGTTGCCATTAAATGGCAATGGTTCTACTGAAAAATGAAAGAGTTGTAGAGGCAATTTTGGTGCTTTTGTGATTGGAGAAACACTGTACAGAATTGGCAGATCCACGGAAAAGAATCACGTTTTGGACGTTGTATGTATATGTAAACCATGACTTTGACTTTTTTCCTAACTATTTTCCCATTTGTGTTTCATTATTTAATTTTTTTGGCAGGTGGAATGTTACAAAGAAGGTAGTGGTTGGGAGGCTTGTAATGTAAAAGCAATTGTGAAAATAAGTTATTTTTCAGCGATTGTGCTGTGAATGTGAGTTTTATGAACAAAAAATCTCTCTCTCGATACCACATACATAGTTTTATGAAATTGCATTATATTAACCTATTTTTTTATTACAATTTTTTAATTTTAATTTTATTTTCTATTTTAGATATTTTACTTTGAGATTATCTATCCAATTATAACATAGTACTTAAAAGATCTACCCACATATATAAATAAATGAAAGTAGAATGATATATTAAACATATCAATGTAAGCACGTTTGTTTGTTTTTTTTTTTTCAGGTTTATAACGCTCTTAATTTTGCTGTTGATGGAACAACTACATAATTAATCAAATCTTTCTATATCTTATTTTGCAATTAAACATTTCTACATAATTAATCAATCTTTCTATATCTTACCTATGTGTAATATTACAAGTTTTAGACAAGTACCAAATACCATTGTACATGTGGCTAATAGTGGTATTTGAAAGCTCTAGCTAAATAGCATTGGTATAGGGGAATGTCACTGATTTCGTGACTTGAATACACAGAATAGGAAACAAATTAGTACAAAACACAGGTTAAAAATACAAGAAATATGAATCTACTTTTATCAAGTTGTTTGTTATAGCATTCTACTTTCGTTTCTCTTAAAATTCTACCAATTGAAAGTGCAATGTTTTCATACGCAAATAGATAGTGGCTATGTAATGAACACTGATAGATAACAAATGATAAATAGCAAAGTCTTCCAAACCCCAGGGACCTTTCCTAGTTTGCATGAAAGCAGAGCAGGGACCACTTATTCAAAACATTAGACTAGGTAAAACAATCAATAACAAAACAAAACACGTGTTGCTGCAATTTCTGGATTAAGTCCTCAATTTCATCATTTTAAAAATACTAAAAAAAAACATGAATATCAATTCCAATCTGAATTATCCAACAAACAGTTAAAATCTTTTTGTTCCTCAGGAAGTTGTATTTCATATCGGCCTTTATTTGAAAGTACAGGTTGGATTCCAATTTTTGTTAACAGTTTACCGACCTGCAAAACAAAACAAAACCAGTGGAAATAGTTTTTAGGGCTTTAATAGAAAAGTTAAAATAAAAATACATAAAAACTTTAAATAAAAAAATACATTATTATACCTTCTCTTTCAGCACCGAAACATTGTCTCTAGATTCACCATGCCCAGTGATTACATATATCACTTTTACAGCTTTTATTAAAAAAATAAATAAATAAATAAATAATAATAATAATAATAATAACATAAAAAAAAAACAATTAAATAAGCTGATTGTATGGAGCTTACTCCGAAGGTTATAAAACAAGAATAGATGAAGCTTTACAAACCATAGAGCTTCATCAGTATGGAGACCATGTAAATCAAAAATTATTTGATTTCGAATTTCTTTATGCCTGAAAAAATGAAAACATTTTAATCAACATGAAAATCCTATTGATTATATGTTAAAGAAGTTTGAATTAAAAGGAAACAAGGTAAAGTTAATTTATTACCTCAACTCAATTAGCTTGAAGCTATTTTTCTTCTTATCATTATCTATCTTCTTTCTTGCTGCTTTTACATGTTGTTCCCATTCATTTGCAAGTTTTAGTTGTCCGGTAGATATAAACTCTTCAACCTGCATTATAAAATACGGTCTTTGAAGTAAAAGGATGGGTATAAAAAGAAGTTAGAAAACTAAAATACTCCTCTAACAAAATTATTACAAGCTTCTCAACACATTTGACTTGAGTTTCCATTTCTGATGTTTTTTCCTTGAAATCTCTACAGTCGGCAATTGTTCCAACATCTGCGACAACATAAAATAGTTATTTGTGAGGTCTTTCTAAGCTAACAAACACCAAAAAAAAATGCCTAGAATACTTTACCTTGCAGGTTAATATTTTCATGAAATTTGTTACATGATAGTAAAGATTGTAAAACTCTCTCCCAACTTTGTACTTCAGAATCATTCCCCGACCGAATCTCTTCACACGGAAAGATAGCGTCTTTTTGGCCTGGATAAAATGCAATATCGAATCCATCTCTGATGCTGTTTTCTTCGGAATGAACATTTGTATGAAATAAGAAATTACTGATCTGCAAAAACAAACACTTGTTAAATACAATAAGTATCCATTAATCATTTTGATAATATTTAGTAAAATAAACAAATTCATACCTTTAACTTTAAGTTCAAATCTTGATTTGTATTTCCAGTTATTACATTTATGTGACGCACAGCTGTTTAGATTAAAACAAAAAAAAAGCTTACATGATTAGTTTAAGACATAAAAAGTTATTTAATAGATTATATATATATATATATATATATATATATATATATATATATATATATACTTCTGAGGTTGTAGCCGATCCATATATGGATTTTTAAAAACGAAATCGCTTCCTGTGGTTCTTGATCTCTGAGGTCAATTCTGAGAGTGGTATCAAAGCGTTTATTACTGAAAAATGCATAACAGAATTTCGTGTTAATGTGTTATATGATGTTTAAAGAAAATAGAAAGTGACATCCATAGTCAAAAACAAAAGCCAACTTCATTAAAAAATAAAATAAATAACGAAAAAATATTTAGCTAACCTTGACTCTAACATAATAAAACTGTCCAGCTTTTCTCGATTTTTAAGTTGATTTCTCAAATTCACCAACTCCACCTACAAACAAAATGCATGCCAGATCAGAACAAAAGACCTTGAACGACATGAGATTTCTTTGAATATACCCTCTCGTGTAACAAAGAGACAGTTGAAACCCGAAAGATAAGTGAAACATGGTTGTGATTATATGAAAGAGTGTTTGTGAGAGAATACTTCTAAACGTGAAGTTCATTAAAGAAAAATGATTATGGTTTTGTGCGATGATATGTTCAAGGGAATTTAAGAAATTTTCTTTTTTTCGTGGAAGGGCCATGAGATTTTATGTTCTCCACATCTAGATTGACTTTTAATGGTGGGCTTTTGACACTTAAGTTAAAGAAAATGCCCAATGGGTTACAATTTAATAAAAACGAAAAAAATGAAGTGTAGGACCATTGACCATTAATGGTTTGGAGTTATCCATTATTTAAGAATATATGAAGGAGACAACATACAAAATCTTATGAAAAACACTGTTTTAAGAAACAAATTGCACATAAAAAAAATAGATAGATATTGCAAATATGATGTCACAATTTCTACTTGACAGATAAAAAGAGAAAGACTTAAAGTCCAGATAAGAAGGAATAAAGAAACATTATTATCATATTTATTTTAGAGAGAACAAAGTACAATTTTTTTTTGATGAATTACGCATATCATTTAAATCATTTTTAATGGTGAAAAATGAAAGTTAAATAGACCTTAACTTTTCAACTGTTCATTTCGATTTTAAGAAAAAATAAAGCTAAAAAATTAAATATAATTAATAAGAATAATGTAAAACTGTAGATGAATGATAGTTTTTAAAGACTTTTGAATTCAACGAACCTCATAAATGTGAGGTGAAACAAATGATTTTTAATTGATATCTACAGTTAAGTAGATTAAACATCATTGCTTGCAGACAAAAACAAAAAAAAAAAACTTTATAATTTCTAAAGTCAGGAATCGGATCTTCAAAAGGGGTCAAGAAAGACAGAGATTCAGGATTAATATGCAAAAACACAAGAATTTCTGTTTAATTTAAATGAAAACACGCACTCAATTCATCAAGAAACAAATACAATATAGTGTAGAATCGGTCTTTATTCGTGATCAAAACAGAGAGACCCAAATCGTCAAGAAACACATATAGCACTAAAGATTCACAAATGGTCGATGATGATGATTGTGTATTGAATTCAGATGAAAAACAAGAAACAAACAGTTGGGAGTGTTCCAAATTTTCTCTGATTTCAATACTATTGAAATGAAAAACAGTCACCCAAAACACATAACATAACCAATTAAGAATGGAACATGATGATGTGTGTTCGACTCAGATGAAAAACATATACCCAAATCAGATTGATATAAATAATATAACGATATCGAATAAAGTGGTGGTAGAGAAACAACGACAATAAGAAATCAAAGAAACTTAATTTGGCTGTTTCTACAAAAAGTTAAATTAAACAAAAAAAACACTTTTTCAGAATTTTTGGGCATTTTATTGTTTTGAAAAAGTTAAATTAAAAAAAAAAAAACTTTTTTGAATTTTGGGCATTTTAGCTTTTGTTTTGAAAAAGTTAAATTAAAAAAAAAAAAAAAAAAACTTTGAACACCATGAGTTTTTTACTTATATTTTTAACAAAAATCTTTACATACAAAAATAACTTGAAATAGTTTTTGAAGTTTTTAGTTTTTAGTTTTTAATTAGTTTTACATATTTAAAAACTAACAATTAGTTCTACTAAATACCTTTAGAGAAATAAAAGTTACATTTTGAACTTTCACGTACCAACTAATAGCTAGTTTTCTAAGAACTCCAAAGCTTATTATTACTTTGATCTTATGACAAGATACCCAAGTAATTTGATATTTTTTGTAGTTGAAAATAAAATAAATATTAAGTATAATAACTGATATGAAGCATATCATTTATCTTGAAAAAATATATATTGTTTTCTAGGTGTCTTACAAAATCGTTCTGTTTTTTTCTTATATGTTGAGAATCTTATTATTATTCAAGTTCTTGTGGGACACAAAATATATATATATATATATATATATATATATATATATATATATATTAAAATATTTTATAAACTTCATAAAAATTAAAACCGACTTTGTGCAATTAAAACAAAAAAACTAAAAAAAAATAATAGTAATAATAAAAAATTGGACCAAAATGTGAAACTCAAACACAAATTACTGTTCATGTATATTAATTATTACCTTATTTCTAACGCTCCTGAGATGACTTTTCAGTTCTAGTGACTCTTTTCTAGCTTCTTCATACTCAAGTCCCATTGCAATTTCTACAATATTAATGTTTTTAGATTTTTAGATGTAACTAAATGACTAACGTTTATGGTATTTACAAAAATACTTGCACAGCTTTGAAACAACACATACCTGAGGGGTTTATAGTACCACCGTGTAGAATCCCACAAGATTTCAAAGCGTTGAATAACGTGTTCCAACTTTTTATATCTGCATCTTCAGCCTCAGAAACGTCCATTGGAACAAAAGATGTAGATGCAATACCAGTGCTCATTGAACAGCAGACGTAGTAAAATCTATTCACATGATTAATGAAGTTAAAACTCTATCCTAATAACATGCCACAAATTTCAAATAAAATAAAGATAAACTTTAGGGTTTGGACATGCGTTTCAAATAAAACAAGCGAATGATCAGAAGGAAAAATAAGCACCACATTCCTGATTCCCAAACAAGCAACACATTACACACCTATAATGAGTAAGAAAATCCGCTTAAACAGGAAAAACAGAATATATCAACTTAATCAAGTCTCATATGCAAAATATCTGTTAAAAAATTAAACAGAACACAGGATATGACGAAATTTGTCGAGGTTAATGGAACATATGAAAGCTTTTAGAAAATATATATATTGGATAACGGGAATAAAAATGCTAAGTCCAAATGTAGGTATAATTGTCAAATGCAAGTGAAAATTTGGCGCATAAACCTTTAAACACGTTGAATCGGAGGTGCGAAACCGTTCTTCCGGCGGCGAGAATGAGATACTAGCAGCAGCAAGCTGCTAGGATTCCGTTACTCGAAAGTTGAAACAAGTTGAAACAGCGGAAAGTGGAGGCGGAGCAGTGTACGGAGACGCGTCGATTTAGGGTTTTTTTTTTTGTTACCGTGGTGAGAGGTTTTTTCTGTGTGAAGAGAACGAGAGAGAGAGAGAGAGAGATCAATTGGGAAGACGAACACTTGCGGAAAAAGAAAACGGAATAAAGGAAGGTGATGGATTGTGTTCATAGGGTGGGTATAAGCGCGCGTGAGAGTAGTGGATTCGTATTTGTTTTAAGTTTTATAGTATGAGTGACGGTGTAAAGGGAATTAACTGATTTAACTTCACGATTAATTAACTTAAAATTTTGGAAGAATGAACTTAAAAAATGGAGGGCAAATGAATACCCGAGGGAGACAATTGAATTAAAGAGAACTAAACAGCATGTGCATAAACATTGATTGCTTGGTGGAAATAAGACAACTTAGCGAAATGGAGATTAATGAAAGGCGATCTGGAATACAGAAAATTGTTGAAATTGAGAAATTAACGACCTTGGATTTGAAACAAAAATCTAGAATAAAGTGGGTGATAGACGGGGACAAGAACACATCTTTCTTCCATGGATATGTGAATAACAAACATAGAAAGAACAGAATAATGAGGTTGCAGTCTAACAACTCATGGGCCACAGATGCAGAGACCATTAAGCAATGAGCTTTCAAATTTTATCAAAGGAAGTTACTGGAGAAATGGCCGTCGAGACCAAAGTTGATCAGCAATAAATTCACCTCGTTGGGTGCACTTGATAAAGTTCAGCTGGAAGCCCCATTCACTAATGAAGAGATCAGATGTGTTGTATGGCATGCGAGAATGAAAAGGCGTCGGGCCCTGATGGATTTTTGTTCCAGTTCATTAAGAAGTATTGGGCGGAGATGCAAGATGGTGTAATAAATGTTGTTAAATACTTCGAAAATTATGGGAGACTTGGAAGAGGATGCAACTCCTCTTTCATTACTCTAGTTCCAAAAATCAAGGATCCGATCACGCTTGAAGATTATAGACCAATAAGTCTAATTGGATGTCTATATTGCAAAAACCTTGGCTCACAGACTAAAAAGGGTTATTGGTAAGTGTATTGGAGAGGTGCAATCTGCATTTGTCGAAGGAAGGAATATCTTGGATAGTCCGCTAATTGTAAACGAACTATGCTCCTGGAGTAAGAAAGCCAAAAAGAAAATGTTGCTCTTCAAAGTGGACTTCGACAAAGCCTTTGATTCAGCTAACTGGGAATACCTTGACTCGATTCAAATGCAACTTGGATTTGGAGACAAATGACGTGGTTGGATTCAAGGGTGTTTACGTTCTACAAGAGCATATGTACTAGTAAATGGTTCACCCACAAAGGAGTTCGAGATGGAACGGGGAGTTAGACAAGGCGATCCACTATCGCCTTTCCTATTCATTATTGCCATGGAGGGGCTCAATATTGCAATAAAAATAGCTTGTGAGAAAGGCATTTTTATCGGGATATCTCTTCCAAATACAGAGACATCTATCTCTCATTTATTTTACGCGGATGATGCTCTATTCATGGGCGAATGGCATAAGGAAAACATTAAAAATCTCGCAAGAATACTAAGGTGCTTTCACGTAACTTCTGGCCTCAAGGTCAACTTTCACAAATCACGGGTTATTAGAGTTGGATTTGACATGCATGAGGTTACCCGGTATGCCACTCCCCTTGGATGTGAACCAGCCAAACTCCCTTTCAACTATCTTGGTGTACCGGTAGGAGGAAACATGAAGTTGAAGAAAAACTGGAGACCGGTGATTGAGAGATTCCAGGCCAAATTATCTGTATGGAAATCAAAAACCCTTTCAATGGGGGGACGCCTCACCCTATGCAAAGTGGTTCTTGGTAACCCACCTACATACTATATTACTATTTCTCACTATTTGTTGCACTTGCTGGAGTCATAAACTCTTTGGAAAGTATTAGAAGGAAATTCTTATGGGGTATGAATGAAGATAGGAAGAGAAAAATCAACTGGGTCTCTTGGCAAAAGGTGGTGTCCCCTAGAGAAGTTGCCGGTCTTGGTTTGGGTTCACTTAAAGTTCTGAATCTGGAACTAATTGGCAAATGGTGGTGGCAGTTGCGAAGTGATGGAGCAAGTCTATGGAGGGAGACTATTATGGGTATCCATAACCTCAAGAACTAGGCTGCAAATTGTATCTCAAAAAAGTCCATTCCGAGTGTTTGGAACAATATAGCAAGGGTAAAAAGAGAGTTCTTGAAAGCTGGAATCAACTTTGATGAAGTAATAAAAAACAGGTGGGTGAAGGAGATAACACATTATTCTGGTTAGATAAATGGTTGGACAACGAAAATTTAAAATCAATGTTCCCAGGATTGTACAAGCTGAAGAAAAGTAAAAAATGTAAAATTAGGGAGAGGATAAACACTGGGGGGATAACATAGGAATGGAAATCGAGTCCATCCTCTAACTCTCAAGCACGTTAATTTGATGAATTAGCTTTCAAAGTGGAATCATTCCTGCCAAACACCGAACCAGATAGCTGGGTATGTAACATCTCTGGGGATGGGGGTCTACCACGTTAATGTGGTAAGGGAACAAATTGATAAAGAGAGCTTGAGTATTGAAGGAGGGAAGATCGATTAGATACCGGAGGTCCCGACTAAGGTGCGGTGTTTCATTTGGAGGGCGGTCCTAAATGGTATCCCAACTGCATGTGCTCTCCAAAAGAGAGGAATCAATTTCAATACAATTAATTGCAGCTACTGTGATCTGGAAAGAGAAGATACTGATCATGCTTTGATCAACTGTTCGATGGCAGCAAAGGTGTGGGAGGCAATGTTCAGGTGGTATGGTATTCCTCAACCCCAATTTGGGAACTTAAGTGACATGGTGAAGTTTTGTTCAACATGGGGACGATGCTTAAAGAAGAGGAAGAACCTAATTAGCATTTGTTATGGTACTGCATGGCTAATATGGAAAGCAAGGTGCGACTTTATATTTAATAAGATTCAGATATCACCTAACCAACTGGCGGGGAACATTCAGTCCATGGTGTTTACATGGATTAAACATAGGAGAGCTAACTGTTCCTATAAATGGATTGTGTAACATCCCAAAATTTAAGGCCACAAATTTCATTTTTAAACAAGTGATTTATAAAATAATTTATCAAAACATTGCCAATATCATGTTAATACATAAAACCACGATATCATGTCTCAAAACCATATCATCTGAAATAATAGAATATCAGAGTATAATCCCAGAAAACTCTAAGCGGAAATCATGTTGTGTGTGTGATGCGCTGATACGCCGTCGCCTCCTTCCCCTTGGACGAAGAGGTACCTAAAACCAAAATTGAAACTGTAAGCACAAAGCTTAGTGAGCTCCCCCATCATACCATATACAAATCGACATACATATTATCGAGCAGTTCTGGGGTGCCCGACCTACCCATGTCACGCCATTATGGGGTGCTGACCTACCCATGTCAAGCCATTTTGGGTTGCTGACCCACCCATGTCAGGCTATTCTGGGGTGTCGACTTACCCTTCGGTCTATCTCAACCGATCACGGGGACTATTTCACCCCTACCACTAGCATATAATATCATATCATAATCAAGCTGTCAGACATATCTAGGGTGTCCGACCTACCCATTGGTCCTAACGACCTAATCGGGGACTAGTCCCCTTCTACTGATACTATCTCACATAACATATCATACTAGCATACGCACATATCAAGCAATAGCAAAACAGACAATTATCACAAAGACAATCATCTAAACTAAACAACTACTAGTGGGTCGGCCTTGGTGCCTTAGACCCACTTCTACTGGAAGGTAACTCACCTCGGTGTCGTGTAGTGTCTGAACTGTCCTCGACGTGTAAATCGACTCTCCTTGACTCCTAAATCCCTACACGACAGCCCATCTAAGTTATCAACTTGAATACGCAACCCCAAGTAGGGTCAAACCAATTCAGTCAAAGTCAACTTTGGTCCAAGTCAACATCCAGTTGACCTGACTCGCCGAGTTGGTCTACCAAGTCGTCGAGTCCAAACTCCACTAACCCGATCCAACCCCGACTCGACTCGTCGAGTCTGGCAAGAACTCGACGGGTTCTCCTTCAATCATACCATCAGGACCATCTTCATCCGACTCACCGAGTTCGTCCTTGAACTCGTCGAGTTCATCTCCCTTATAAGAACGTGTCCAGTCTATGACTCACCGAGTTGTATGAACAACTCGTCGAGTCCATCTTCAAAGGTTGGGAGATTGCCTTGGACTCGTTGAGTTTGCTCAACCACTCGTCGAGTCCCATGAATTCCTAGGCCCCTAATGGTTCTAAAACCTGAGGGACCTTCCACACTATCATTTGGTCCAATCAACAGAAAGGATTTGGTGGTCATTGCACCCCGACTCGCCGAGTCCCAAGAACGACTCGCCGAGTCCATCCTTGACCATTTCTATACAGTCTATTTAAATGGGTCTTAACACATCAAAACCATAGATTTGGCCTCCTAATGTCCATTTTACACGTAAAGTTCCAACCTTGGTGCACATGCATGGGGTCTTTGGCTAAAAAAGCCATAAAAGGTGTTCTACAAGATGCATGGGGCTCTCATGGCCATAGAGTTGGCACCTTTATAACATGAGACCCCTCCAATGGCCCAGATATGAAGTTAAGACTCCATCACAAATCCGAAAATGGCTTGGAAAGCCCTAAATGTTCTCAAAATCCGAGCCCTAATTAAGAATAAACACATGGAAGACCAAGACAGGGGCATTTTACCTGGAATGAGCTGGAATGGAATGAAATCTCTGGATCTCCAAGCCCCAACTCGAACTCTCAAGCTTCTCTCTTCTTCTCAAGCTTCACAATCCACCAAAATGCACCAAAATGGCCATAGAACACACAAAAACGGCTAGGGTTTCGAGGTAATGCTTTCTGGGAGTAATAGGGACTATGGAGGCTGAGATAAGTGGCTTAAATATGGTGCAAACCCTCAATTTAGGGTTTCACTCAAACAACGTCTACTCGTCGAGTCGGCCTCTCGACTTGTCGAGTAGACCACTTAAACTTTCCGCGGATCACGACTCTACTCGACGAGTTAGGCCTCCAACTTGTCGAGTCCCAAAGAAAAACACAAGAATACTTGAA